TAAACCCCTGCACTGGGCTTCCTGTCCTCACCCCAGGAGGCCGTGGAGCACCGGTTTCCCTGAACAAACCACGCTGAGTATTTCTGGACTGAAAATTTCCGTGAGGAAGGCTGAAATACTAATTCCTAGAACCAGTCAAAGGGGTTCTGAACCCCTTTGATTTCTTTCCTTCCAACTTCTTTCCGTATCTACATTCCTGTGCCTGTGTGCCCACCCACAAGGTTGCTGTAAATTAAATCTCCAAAATTGCCCACCTCTACTACAATTTTTATTGACGTGTTTCCTGCTTCCCCACTTGCTTTTCCCCATGTAGACTTTTCCTATTGTTACTCCTACCAGCCATGGAGTGAATCGCGTGCTGTGAAGTGTGTCACTCAGGCTCAGAGTTTGAGAAGTGATTAATTGAGTAGGAGAGAGTCGAAACTCTGGCTGAAAAAAACAAAAAACAAAGAAATGCCTCACTGGCTCAGTTGTCTAGAGAGCTAGGGTTGGGGGTATGTGTAATACATATGTGTATTCTGTAGGTTAATAGGTATACATATGTATGGTTGTGGGGGTTTTTTCTCTAAGCAGAGTGCTCCAGATACATAAGATTTCTTTCCTTCCACTTGACTTTGCAATGGATCAACACAATTTAAGATTCCTTGTCCTTTTAGGCTTTTAGGTAGCCTGAAGGTCACCAGCACCTCCCATGTCTCCAACACTTTGGCACTGTGAGATGCTGACACTTTCCATTGGGTTTTCCACCCACTTTGGAGGGTGATTTAGGTCCTTCATATTGTATATTTGTCCCCATGAAAGTTCTATTAGTCAAGCAAAGCCACCTGAGCTTAAATAAAAATTCTGCGGGTTTAATGAGAGATGTGCTTAGAAATCTATATGGCTCTGTGGAGCTTCTCAGCTCTCCCAAGTAAGAAATTTTGAAAAACACCCTAAGCTTGCACCGAAAACTGAATGCTCACTATGATGGAAGAAGCTTTCTTTCTTTGATGCACTGGAGTTTCTTCGTGAAATGAGGCTTTGGGGATGCGCTACTGTGGGGATCGCAGCTATGCTGAGGTTTAAAAGAAGAACCTGGAATATGATTAGTAAACACATTGGGCAGAAAAGAGCTAGATTTATATTGACTTAGTTATAGGTCATCGGCTGGCAGTACAATGGGAGGAAATATTTACTTTACACATATACTGTATGATCTTGGGGGAATTAGAGGAAATTCAATAAGAAAATGGCTAGAAACATCTAAAACCCTTATTTAAAAGACTTAAGCAAATTAAAGTCTTACCAGATTAAAACCCACTACAAATGTAAGAGCATTGTCTTCAGTAAAACGCTGTGGGGTCTGAGGAGATTCTCCTCCAAATCTCAGGGATAAAATGCGTCATTTAAGCACCAGATAATGAACAGAATGTAAATTAATTTAACCTTCTTTACCAACAGGCTGCTGGTGTAATATGTATAATTTAGTGATAAGATTGCAGAACCTAATATAGCTGAATGTATGAGCCTCAGCCAGCACAGACCTGTCCTATGGGATGTGTTCTGCTCTGAGTAGATGTGTGTATGCCTGAAATGGGGGTGAACTGGCATAAAAGGTTAAACTTAGAATTGCTGATCTTAAGCTTACTATAAAGAAAGTTTCCCCTTGTTGCTATATTCTTCTTAAAGTAGGATGATACTTGTGTGAAGAGACTGAAGAACAATTCTCATTTGGTTCCTCTGACTGCTCTTAAGCATGTTTAAAATGGGGGGAGGAGTTGCAGATAGGGTTTGGGGTGGGAGCAGGGCAAAGGAGAGCCACATAGGTTGCAAACATTTTTGTATTCCAATCCATCTACTCTGCCCCAGACTGAATACGTTTCCCAATCTTGTGAGCAAGGACAAGGAGGGAATTTTCTGAAGAGACCCCATACTGGTGTTGCAAATCATTGACTGTAAAGTCAAACAAATACACAGTCAGGGATGATAACACTAACTCCACAATAAAGTAATCGCCAATGCAGAACCCAGGGAAGATTAGTTTGTGCTCTCCAGCTGACCTAAGCCAGAGGACAAAAGGACTTTCTAAAATTATTTTAAGTGATATGTTTGGATTTCTTTCTTTAGTTTCTTTGGTAATTACATTTCTTTAGTAATGGAATTCCAAAGAGTTGGATATCTCCAAAGGTGTTTTATTTCCTTTGTTTATATAAATGAATAAGGTTTTGCCTTACGTAGCTGAGTGTTCCCGTAAGCTTTTGCCCTTCCCTCAGACCCTACTGCCTCTTCATGCTTGGACTTTAAAATTCAAGACAGCCATGCGCTTCCTGGGGAGGTAGGGGGGAGGCAAAAATTATCCTTGAAATTGGTTATTTGGCAACATTCTTAATTGTATGGAAACTCATTAAAGCATAGTTTATATATAATTAGCTCAAGGCTGTTGATTCTACAAGCTTTATGGATTTCAATCTGATTGATAATAAAGTAAACAAGAGAGTCGAATTTAAAGCTCGGCTCTCTCCCTGGTTAGGACGAGCTTAATACAGTGTACAAGGAATTTGAAAGATCTAGGATATGTGTCTTAATCAACGTTAAGTAGAATGGATAAGCTTTCAGCATTTTGAAAATGCTGGGTTAGGGTTTCTATTCTATTGTGTGTTTTCTGTCTGGGGACTAATAAGCATTACAGAGAACGTGATCTGAGGCGACTTTTTATTCTTGTATAAATCCAGAGTGAACCACCAAACAGTTGTTCGTTTAAAGTCAAGGTAATTTTCTTTTGACGGGTCCATTTGCTTCTGGATTTCTAATTTATTAGCCTGCCTTCCCAGGGATATGTCTTATTTTGCAATTAAAAGAAAGCTTCTTCAGATTAGCCCAGCATTCACCTGACAGGTTGTTTGGAAAAATCTAAGATCAGAGAGGTGATTTGTTGGTGTTTTTAAATATTTCTGACTTTAAGTAGCATGTCTCCTTTCCATACAGGAGAAAAACACCTTTGGATTGAAAATGGATATGGTGAGACACAAAAGGGGTGGAGAGTGGGGTGCCTTGTTGATCCGTGTAACTTCAAGCTCCTTTCTCCCGAGCCTTTTACTCCCAGCCTCATCATTCCACCACCCCGCGCGAACAAAAAGCCGATCCTCTTTAGTCGGGTTGGAGCCAGCGGGTGTAGACTCTGTGGGCGCAGCGAGGCATTGGCCCAGCCCCGCATAGCTGATAGGAGCAGGCAGCATTGTCCCTCCGCCGCCGCTGGGGGCCTTCTGATTGGGTCGGAGGCTTGTCACTCCGGCACCAAGAAGGGTCTGGGAGGAGGCGGAGGCAGGAGGTTTGGGGAGGGCCGTGGCCGAATGACGTCTCGGCACCAGGAAGCCCGCCTCTGGTTTTAAGATGTTAGGCCAACAGGGAAGCGCGGAGCCGCAGTGCTGGTCCGTCGCTGGCCCAGGTGCCAGGAGCTGAGCTGCGGCGAGACCGGGCTCGAGCTCGGCGATCCGTGAGGGTGTGCGTGTGCCCAACGCGGAGGGTGCGACGCGAGGCTCGCGCCGCCGTTGCCGCCGGGATCCAATATCAGCTACCTGTCCCTGTCACTCTTGACACTTCGCTGTCAGGGCTGCGCGCGGGGGCGGGCAGAGCGCGCTCTGCGTTAGCTTTCCTTATTGGAGGGGTACTTGGGAGAGGGAGGGGGGAAGAAAGGGGTCTTTGCCCACTCTCGTTTCGCTTTGGAACTTGCAAGCCTGCTCCCCAAAGACGCTCGGAGCTGTACCCTCCTGCCCACCTTCGCATGGCTCCGTTTACCCGCTGACTTTCGGTCGCCGGAACCTTTCGCTTAAACCCTCCGAAAAGGGCGGTGCGGCGCGGCTGGAGGACTCCACGGGGGTTGTGCTCGCTGGCTGTGCCCGCGGCGGACACCGCGGGGAACCTCCGCGCCTAGAGCGCAGTGCGGCCCAGGACTCGTAGGGCGACGCGCTCCTTCGTCCATGAACTGCATGAAAGGCCCGCTGCATTTGGAGCACCGAGCAGCAGGGACCAAGAGGTTGGCTGCCTCCTCGTCCTCCTCTTGTCACCATCCCCAGCCACTGGCTATGGCTTCGGTCCTAGCTCCTGGTCAGACCCGCGCCCTGGACTCTTCCAAGCACAGGCTGGAGGTGCACACCATCTCTGACACCTCCAGCCCCGAGGCCACAGGTAAGGCGCCGCGCTGCCCCGCGGTACCCCCGCCCGGCCGCCCCGCGTCGCTCGACCCCTCTCACCCGCAAGGAAGTGGGCCCCTGCTGGGGAAAGCGTGGTGGGAGTGGTCGTTTAGCTTGCAGTCCGCAGAACTTCCGTCCCTTTCGCTCTACCTCCACCGCCTGGCTGGGGCGGCGCCAATGGCGAGGGTCTTTCTGTCGCCCTCCCTATTCCTATGCTGACCTCCCTTCTGTTTCTTGAGTCACAAAAATCCCGAGAACGTTCAGAGGCCGTTCCCCATCTCCTATCCGGGCCATGTTCTCCTCTCAGCTTTCAGCTCCCGAGAAGCTCCGCTTGTTAGCAAAGTATCTCTGAAACTATGTCTTAGAAGAAGAAGAGGTCTTTTTGAACTTGAGTGGGAGACCGAATCCCAAGGTCCACTTTCCTAGCCTTTAGAAGCCGCATCGAAAGCTGAGCTTTCTTCGAGGGGGGGTCTGTGAAACGCGCGCGGGTGCGTGTCCTGGGAGATTTGGTGTGTCTGCACAGAGGCGTATAAATGTGCTCGAGAAAGTACAAGCTATAAAAATGAATGTGCCACGGTCGCAGGCAGATAAACATGTAAATAAAACGTACGGCGCCCGGGGGAGGGGAGGAGATGGGGCGCGCACACCCACACTCACGTCTGCACCCCCCCCACCCCCCCCACGCAGCGCTCGGAGCCACGAGAGCGGTTGCTCACACACTCCTCCCGGCTGGCCACCCAGCTGTTCCCGGCCAGTGCCTCCCCGTCCAGTTGGAATTCGCGGGTTGCCGGTGGACATGCTAACGGGAACCTTTGTGTGTTTCGTTTTCAGAAAAAGATAAGAGCCAGCAGGGAAAAAATGAGGACGTGGGCGCCGAAGACCCATCCAAGAAAAAGCGGCAGCGGCGGCAGCGGACTCACTTCACCAGCCAGCAGCTGCAGGAACTGGAAGCCACTTTTCAGAGAAACCGTTACCCGGACATGTCCACGCGCGAAGAAATCGCCGTGTGGACCAACCTTACGGAAGCTCGAGTCCGGGTAGGAGTCCGCGCGTTGTAGAGCTGCAGGCCGTGTAGAGCCGGAGGGAATATGGAAAGCGGAGCCGCCCCAGAGGGTGAGGGTGGGGTGCCTTTGCAAAAGCCGAAGGCCTCTCGGAGGGCCCAATCGCGAGGTTACAGCACCCCCTTCCGAGGCCGCCGCGGCCGGGTGTTGGGACCCGGAGCAGCACCGCTCACCGCCACGCCACCCAGCGCCCTACCAAACTGGGCCGCGTGGCATATATCCCTAGTACAGGGTATTGTGTCCCCAGCTTTCAGTCGCCAAGAGACCGCTAATAAAATCCCTCCCAGGCCAGGAGCCGAGAACAGGCTCCAACCTGCGCGCCTTTAACAAGGAAAACTGGCCAGAAACACCCAAGGGTTTGGCCCTCCTTGGGAAACTTCCGCGCCGGGCCTGGCCCGGCCTTTACTCGTCTCGCCCTGGTTACAAGGTCTTTGCGGGTTTTCGGCCATTCAGGTCTCTCTCACACCCTACCCCCCAGGTTTTGTGATCTCCGGAAGCCATTTTAATACACAGCTACTATCCTGCTAGTCCTCTTAGAAAGAAAAAGAAAAAGACTTTTCAGTTTGGTTTATTTATCTTTTCTCAGGAGATTGTTATACCCTTCCTCCCAGTTGTAATAGTTTTTATCAAAGAAAGGGCTTACCTTTGTAGTAAATCTGTACTTTATGGATTGGCAAAAAAGAACTTTAAATCAGTTACCCAGTAGCAACATCCTGGTTTATGCTGGTCGGTGGGAAACTCCAAAACTGTTAGGATTCTGGAAACAGAAAATACGCTTAGGATCCCGAGGCTTTGCTGTAAAAAATAAAATAAAATAAAATAAAAAATGCTCTGGATGGAAAAACAGAGCCCTCAGCCAGAACAGAGAAAGCAGAAAGAAGGAAACATATAACAATAATGACGGAAAGAAATAACAATAATGATGAAAAGAATTAAGGCCAAAATGCACTCCCAGAACAGAGGGAATGAGGACACTCTCTGGGTGGCATTTGTGTAAGGTGTGAGGCTAGGCTGGTGGTAAAAGAGCCGGGATGAAGTTGGAAGTGGTTTTAGTTTAACTGCATGGAGCTAGCGCTCCAGCCGGCCGGCATGGTTTTGCAAAAGGTCAGTCTTTCATTAGCTCTCCTGCGCAACAGGGGAACGGGCCTCTCACGTACTCTTCTCGCCTGGGCAAAGTTTAGACGGCGAGGGTAGAAATGGCAAGTAATTAAAATAAAAGTATAATGTGTAGGTTCTGTGGAATCCTTCAGAAAAGCCCTCCCCCAATCCTCTGGTTTCTCTGCAGTCCCTCCCAAGTCCCCCTGCTGCCGCCACGCAGGGCTTTTGCTCCCTCCCTCTACCTCCTTCCAGGCCCGCGGCTGGTCCAGCCAAGTGGGAGTCAGGCGTGCTTTTTATAGCAGTCGGGTGCAAAAGAGGAAGGGGGATACAAAGGAAATAAGAATGAAAGAGAAAAAAAGCGGGATTAGTCGGCTGGGCTCGGCTGAGATGTGTAATGTGAAACATCACCAGTGTCAACTCGGAAATCTCCGACCAGGCCTCGCTCCAATACACAAAAGCCGCCGTCTGGGGCGACTGGCGGGCCCAATGTGGATTGAGAGCGAGGTTGCGGCGGGGCCACCAGACGCGGGTGGGGGCTGGCTGTGCTGGGTGGCCGCCCGAAATGCCTAGACCCGACTGGGCCCAGCGGGAGAACGTGGAGCGCGCAGGCCTGGCCTGAGATGGGAGGGGAGTGACAAGGAGGAGAGCAAAGCGAGGGCGAGACTACAGAGCGACCCGTTCTGGGTTCGGAGATTTACGCGCCAAGTTCGTTTATTTTAATGAGCGGTCGAGGAGGTGGCCTTTGCTTTTTACTTGGTTATTTTGCAAGGCGAGGAAGGGGGTCGCGGCCCGGGGCTTGTTGGGAAGGCGCAGGTTCCCCTGGAATGGAGGGTGGCAGTGGAGATCCCAGAGGAGGGAGGAGCTGTGTGGGAGAGAGCAGGTTCTGGTACCCACTCAGCCCCTGGTCCTCATCATCCAAAGCGGTGGCTTTGGAATGGAAACAAGTTTGCAAGGTGGCAGGGGAAGGGTTGAGTGGAAAGCCTGTTGACCCGCGTTTATTTTTGTAGCAAGTGTTTTGGGACCCTGGGTTAGAGAACAAGCTGCCGCAGGCCGCCGTTAGGCTGGGGTTTGTGGCGAAGCTCAGAGCCCGGCGCACAAGCCTGAGCCGCCCGGCCTCCCTCCCTCGGTTGGTGGCTCGGGACAGGTGACTGCGCATTTTGGAGCGCGGGACAGTGCTGGGGTGGGGGAAAAGGTGTCGACTAGTGTATGTGTCAGAGTGGAGGCGGCCTCTGGTGCTCTCCGGGATCAAAGTTTTACTTATCCGATCTATGGCGTCTGTTTGCTCCCTGCCCTCCACCCCAGGTTTGGTTCAAGAATCGCCGGGCCAAATGGAGAAAGCGGGAGCGCAACCAACAGGCCGAGCTGTGCAAGAACGGCTTTGGGCCGCAGTTCAACGGGCTTATGCAGCCCTACGACGACATGTACCCGGGCTACTCCTACAACAACTGGGCCGCCAAGGGCCTTACGTCGGCCTCCCTGTCCACCAAGAGCTTCCCTTTCTTCAACTCTATGAACGTCAACCCCCTGTCGTCGCAGAGCATGTTCTCCCCGCCCAACTCCATCTCCTCCATGAGCATGTCGTCCAGCATGGTGCCCTCAGCGGTGACCGGCGTTCCAGGCTCCAGCCTCAACAGCCTGAATAACTTGAACAACCTGAGCAGCCCATCGCTGAATTCTGCGGTGCCGACGCCCGCCTGTCCTTATGCGCCGCCGACTCCTCCGTATGTTTATAGGGACACGTGTAACTCGAGCCTGGCCAGCCTGAGACTGAAAGCAAAGCAGCACTCCAGCTTCGGCTATGCCAGCGTGCAGAACCCGGCGTCCAACCTGAGCGCTTGCCAGTACGCCGTGGACCGGCCGGTGTGAGCCGCGCCCACAGCGCCGGGATCCTAGGACCGTGCTGGATGGGGCGACTCTGCCCTTGAAAGACTGGGAATTGTGCTAGAAGGTCGCGGGCACTAATGAAAGGGACAGAAAGAGAAGATAGAGAAAAGGAAACCACTGAATTAAAGAGGGAGCTACCTTGATTTCAAAGGAATTTCCTCAATGTCTGACATCTTTCACTAAAAATATTTCCAACAGTTGCAAGGACACACAAATGTTTGACTGGATATGACATTTTAACATTACTATAAGCTTGTTATTTTTTAAGTTTAGCATTGTTAACATTAAAATGACTGAAAGGATGTATATATATCGAAATGTCAAATTAATTTTATAAAAAGCAGTTGTTAGTAATATCACAACAGTGTTTTTAAAGGTTAGGCTTTAAAATAAAGCATGTTATACAGAAGCGATTAGGATTTTTCGCTTTCAAGCAAAGGAATGTATATATTAAATACCACACTGTATGTTTCTAACATATTATTATTATTAAAAAATGTGTGAATATCAGTTTTAGAATAGTTTCTCTGGTGGATGCAATGATGTTTCTGAAACTGCTACGTACAACCTACCCTGTGTATAACATTTCGTACAATATTATTGTTTTACTTTTCAGCAAATATGAAAAAAAAAATGTGTTTTATTTCATGGGAGTAAAATATACTGCATACAAATTGGTCTGGATTCTTTCTGCCCTCCTCTGTCGTCTGGCCAGGGTTTCTCAGTCACTGCCTGCTAAACAAACCAGTTCCCTCTCCTGCCTAGTTAAAGATACAAGGCAGCAGTACTTATTTAAATTTGGTAGAAATAAATTATAGTCATTCATCAAAAGCAACAAAAAAGCACTCCCAGAAAAAAAAAAAAAAAAAAAAAAAAGCTGCAAAGTCTGGTCTTGTCTCCCAGATTTTTCTTTGGCTTAAACCCTGAGGATTCCATTATTGCTAGAAAAAATAATATAAGAAGAAAGGAGAAAGACATTTAGAAAGTATGCCAGCTTGGAATTACTTTCATTTACTCCTCGAGAAAAAGGGTGGGGAAACTGCACCTCCAGTAAATTGTTCTGGAGAAGTATGTGTGTGTGTGTGTGTACATGTAGTTTATATACATTCCTCTCAAGAGGAATATATCTGTAATAAGTTTATAAGGAAACACCTCCAGTTCAAAATATTTAGGCCTCTACGTTTATCTTTCAGGCTTAAGTAGAGGGATTCTTCATGTTATATTGCATTACTATTTCCAAATCCTTTGGAGACATTAAAAGAAACAAAGACAGGTTCTAATAACTACAACCTCTTAGTTTCTCAAAGAGCCCAGGGGTTGAGAGGTTAGAGTGGAGTTTCCTGAGTCTTGTCGAGCAATATGTAGTTGAGACAAAGGTCATGCTCCCCGTGTTTTGTTTTAAATAATACTGACCCATTAATTCTAAACCTGCTTGTTCCTGAAATTATACAGGATTATAGTTTGCAAACTGCAGGACAATGATTCAAATCAAGATGAATTACAGCCTTTGCCCTCCCATCCTCTGACTTCTAAACGGGGAACTAAGGTCTGTGTGTTTCAAAGAACTTTAAGCAACCGCTCTTCCTTTATCGGTAGTTTTCAGCATTCTTTCTTTCTCTTTTTTAAATGTGTAATTTGACTTTGTAACAAATAGTAGCAAATACAACTTAGTCCCAAAGAACTCATCACTGTGCGGCTTGGAGAGTCGGTGGAGGAGAGAAGAGTTCTAAGGACTCTTGCTATTCTCGTCAAAGCCGCCCTGCACCTCCCAAGTGGGCAAGGACAAACACCACCCTGGGGAACTGGGACAGAAAAGTAACCGCCAGTTTTGTGGAGCAGAGAAAACCTGTGTTTTTGCGCTTAGGTTTCTTTTATGTGACTGAAACTTTTACCTATAAGCGTTTGGGGCACAGACACTGATTCTTTGTTCTGCATGGAGCTGCTGCTGCCATTTAAAGAGATCGCAGATAATGTTCCCGATTTAAGATCAGTACTCAATGCACTTTAACTTTTTTTCCTTTTTAAGCTCTGCCTCTGACCTGTGGAGGGATCACGCGGGAGTAGAGGGCAGATAAAAGCCCTTTGGACGAGGGTCACCTCCGTCCTTGTTGTTCACTTGAGAGCACTGGAGAGGAAAACGGTCCCCACCAGCGGACTTTGGCTTCTGGAGCGGCGGGGCCCCAGGTCCATGCGGCCCCGAGCCTCCGCCTGGTGTGGGGGAGGGGCGACGGGGGAGGGGCTGCAGGGGCTGGAAGAAGGGATTTGGGGATGGGGGCTGGAAGCGCTAACGAGACGCGCTGGTTGGATTTGCGTTTCCTGCTGGTCCTAGAGTGACTTGGGAGCGCTGGGTGCAGGAGGCGGATCTCGGCCTAGTTTGCTTGCTGAAGTAGAACTTTATTTCGAGGGGATCAATCAATCTGCAGGAAACAAAAATGGAAGTCGAGGTTTGGGATGAGTTGTCACTTCCCTGACTTGAGTGGTGCGGGCTGGGGGCGGAGACTCGGCACTCCTGAGGATCCCTTTCTCCTACCTCAGCTCCTTTCCCCGTACTTCCAGAAGCGAGAATTATTATCCCCCTCACCCCGCTCCTCCTCACACCATCCTCGCTAGCCCGCTGGCCCCTTTCCGCACCTCTCCCCTTTTAAGTGAGAAAAGCCTAGTTCTCGAGCTAGTGGAGTCGGTCCCCTTCCTCCTCCCACTCGCACCACGTCCCCCCTCCAGCCATCGCCACTGCCACCAACTTGGTTCCACTCAATCGATTTTTGCTGCATGTCAACACTTATTACCGGTGAGTGTGAGGGTAATTTTTCTCCTTCTCTAGGTCTCTTAATGATTTCTGAGCTAGTTGTGTATTAAAGTGCTTAAATGAATCTTTAGGTAATCTATAGCATGAACACCAACCTTCTCCGCTGGAGATCGAAGATGGCCAGCTCGAGGTCGGCGGGGAGTCCAGGCCCGGCTGGCCTCCGCCCTCCAGAGCCACCTCTGAGCGCCCGGAGGCTGGGGCCTGGGCAGGAACTCGCGAAACGAGTCTCGGCCTCGGGGCTTCCTTCTCCCCACCACCTGTGACTCTAACCCTTTCTCCGGCCTACCCTCGGTTTTTAATCTTTTAAAATTTTCTAAGTCCCCAAACTCTTCCTTCCCCTAATTTAAATTGGCGAGAGCTCATGTTTGTCTCAATTTCCTCCCAGTTCCTAAATCTGCTTTTTACTATCCACGACTTGGTTAGCAATTTAATTTAAAAAAAAAAAAAAAATGTTGGGTAGCCTGGGCCCAGAGGGTGGCTTGCCTCCCTTTTGCCTCCCGCCTGCATTTTTGTCCCACCTCCACCCTCTTCCTGAGAGGTGCTGAAACCCGGGAGTCCCTGTAGGAGTGTAACAATAACAACACAAAATTAATGGGGAAAAATAAAGAGCGTCTTAAAAGTCCCAGTACTCCTCGAAAGCCCCATAAATTAACCCTGTAAAGAGGGCGAGCTCTTTTAAGGCGAGTCCATAAAAACCTGGCGCGATCCTGCCCCCCTACCCCCACCCCCCTCCTCGCGAATGTGTCCAAACAAAGGTCTGTCCTGCAATCCACATCCTAATCCACGGGTGCTCTCGTTGCTGTCTCCGGGCCCCCCAAACTCCGGTCGCCCACAGTCGACGCAGACAACGCAGGGAGTCCTGGATAGAATGTTTTTTTTTTTAGGGGGTGGAGGGAGCGGGTGTAATCAGATCAGAGGCCTTTATGAATGTAGAGTCCCTACTGATTGACATAAAACCCGGCAGGCTGCAGTTGATCTGAGCGCACAGGGAAGAAGAGACGTGGCTGACTGAAGTGGGACAGGTCTACAAGTAAACAGGAAAAATTTCTTGTAGCAGGTTTTTCTGAAAGAACTTTTTTGAAAAGCTATCCTTTCTCTACAACCTTTCTAATCTGAAGATTGCAGTATAGCTGAACTTGAGAAAATAATAATTGAGGACAAGATTTAAAGTAAAAAAAAAACAAAAAAAAAAAACACAAAACCGGTGGGTTAAATAGAAACCCAATTGTAAACACATAACTAATTTACCTTTTCTGGTTTTAGCAGAGGAAACGAGGGAAATTTTACTGTAATCTTAACAGTTTATTTATCACCCTTGTCCCGCCCACCCCCAAGAAGAGTGGCCTCATCCTTGACTTTCCATCTGAAAAGATAGAAACCAGAATTTATTGTGTTTGGGATGCATAACTTCATTCACTTCCTTGCTGAGTATTTCATGTAACTGTTGATTTTAGATTTTTGTTTGCGGATTACAGAAGGCCTGCAAGAAATAAAATACCCCAGTGAAGATATATTTAATTCTACTTAATTACCCTTTTAAAAAATCATAGCTAGTCTTGTTGTGAAAACAATGTGTTAACAGTTCAGTGGCAGCAGTGGAAAACAGAATTTGAGGGCTTAAGTTATTCAGCCAAAGAATGGCTAAAAGAACCCTCTAAATTACTTTTTAAAATATTTTAAAATTTTTGTGAATATATAGATAAGTTGTTTACTTTTGGGGGGTTGTGTGGGGGAATTGCAATTTTTATTCTTCTCTCAGAAGGGCTAAGAGAAGTCCAGACTCAGTGGGCCTTCTCTGAGCAGGGTGTGTGTCTACACTCCCTGACTTTGATGGATCATTCCAGGCATAGTTCTCCCATTCTTACGGCAAAAATATTGGTATCCTTACCCCCTTGCTCTCTCTGACTCTCCCTCTATCTTCTCCCTATACCATTTTCTTTATTCACACCAAAGTTGTCCACCCCTTCTTCCTGACCCCTTCTGTCTACTTAGGAAACGGCCCGCAGCCGCTGGAACCTGACGTCGCCGGACTGTGGCTTGGGATGGTTCCTTACAGCCGCAAACGCCCTCTATCAATGCTTCTTCCGTCCACACGTAGCAAAGCCTTTCTGCCTCCGTCTGACAGTTTGAAGCTTGGCGGGACCCCCTGGCACGCAGTCCTTGGCAGGAAACTTTATCCTCATCGCTCGAGGAAGATGAGACCTCGAACCGTCTCTGCTGTCCCTGAAAAGGGGGGTGGGGCAGCATATGAACGTGACTTGGAACACAGATTAGTGGCAACCCAGTTCTTGGGAGCTTTTCCCTGTTCTGCTTGTGTCAACAGCCACAACTCTGCTTCTCTGGGTGGATATCTGGGTGGGGTTGCTGCACCCAGTTGAAGTTTGATGGCATCTTCTCGGTCCTCCGGGATAGACCGCAGGGACTTCACTAAACGGATGCCCGCGTTTGGTTGACCCTGGGTGGAGGTGGGGGGGTCTGGTGTGCACAGAGCTGGAGACCCTGCAGGTATTCCCCAATACCAACAAGGTGGCTTGGCCTATCAGAGCCCAAGGTCACTTTGTTTGAAAATAATATAATATCAAACAAAAGAAAGTAAAATAAGGCCTATCATCTGCGGGCGCCTGGCCTCGAGAAATATTCATTCACTGACCTCAACGCCTTCAGCCCCCGCTTAAAACCTGTGAAATGGTAGGAGCCACTCTTATCTGATGAAGCAGGGTCTTGTTTGTTTCTCTGACTGAAAAAAAAAAAAAAAAGAAAGAAAGAAAGAAAAAACATCCCGCCTGCAAATGCTGGGCTGCAGCTGCTGGCGCGAAGCTCTCCTCCCCAGCTCGGAACCCCTTTCCAGGTGCAGCCCGCCAGCCTGTC